GGGAGTTACGCAAATATAGAATATAGTTAGTCAAGCTAAATTCTTTTCAGTACTTTTTTAAAAGTCCAATTAAGAATTACCTTCCCTGACTAACTCTGTCCTATGACGATCATTCTTAGGATCTCCTCAGCCGCTGTATTCACTTTTCTCACACTTGGTCTTTGGAATCGGATCCTAGTTGTTTACATTCATGTATGTATAGCTAACTTCTTAGGGGCGAGCACCACTTCTTTTTCTGTTCTGTTTACTGTGCTTAGTCCAGTGTGTGTGTGTGTGTGTAATAGATACTTGGTGTAACTGTTGGTGGAATTAACTGAGTTTCAGGTCTGATATACACAGAATAATGATTTGACTGATTGCCCCAATACCTATGTGTTCCACATCCATGTTCATGACCTCTGAAATTCCTTTATCTGATCATAATCTGTTGTGTCATTCCACCACTCTCTCTGACTTGCAATTCCAAACCCTGTTCTTCATCCTCATCATGTCTTCCAGTCCAACACCCCTTAGTTCTTTCCAAGGCCATCACCCCTATAAGTCTCTCTTCTCTTCCTATTCTTGACTCCTTTAGTGAAATGGTTCAATATTACTCTGTCTTCTTCTCTGGAGACCCTTGCCCCTTTATCTGGTAGAAGATCTTTCTTTTCCAAATACTATATTGGATTATTTATCCAGTCCCTTTGCTCCTACTCATATGTTTCTGCATAAAAAACTGGAGAAAATTACAGAACTGTGCTGACTGGATCCATTACAAGTTTTTATTAAATAATCTCATCTGGAGTCTTGTTGGAGTAAGGCAATAATTTTACATCTCCCTAAAGTGATATCAGTATCCCCCTTAACCACAGTGACTTTTCCAAACTTTTCCATCTCTTTTCAAACCCACTGCAGCTCCGTCTCCCAACATCCTCTCATCTAGGAACCTTACCTCATATTTTACTGAAAAACATTGAGGCCATTTTCTGAGAATATCCTCTACTACATACTTTCTCTTCATTCAGATGCTTTTTGCCACTATCTCCTCCATCACTTGTGTTTCACATGAAGAGATGGTCCTTCTTGCCAAGGCAAACCCCTCTATATGTACAAGTAATCCTATTCCCTTCTGTTTTCTGCAGATTTTCCCATCTTCCCTACTCATACTACATTTTAATCTCTCTCTCTCTCTCTCTCTCTCTCTCTCTCTCTCTCTCTCTCTCTCTCTCTCTCTCTCTCTCTCTTTTTCCCCCCCCCTTCCCTTCCAACTGGCTACATCTTTTACTGATACAAACACATCCATGTCTCTCCCATCTTTAAAAAACCATCACTTGATGTGTTTTTCCCTGCTCATGATCATTCTGTCTCTTCCCTTTTGTGGTTAAATACCTTGAGAAGCTGTGCCCCCACATCCTTTCTTCTTTTCTAGCTTTCTGCATTCTGGTTTCTGATCTTATTCACCCGAAACTGCTCTCTCCAAAGTTACAAATGATCTCCTAATTGCCAAATCCAAAGATCTTTTCTTAATCCTCATCTTTCTCTACCTCTTTGCAACCTTTGAAACTGTTGATCACCCTCTTCTTGATACTGTCTTCTCTCTAGGTTTTCGTGACACTCTTCATCTCATTCTACTTGTTTTGATTGCTGGATATTTGCTCTTCTTGTCGGGTAGTACCTCTCCTATTATCCATGCTCTCTTAGATAATCATAGATAGTAGTTTATCAGTCTGGTCTGCTAAATCTTTCAGTGCCTGAATTGAAGTTCAGCTGTGCTTGGTGTCTTGGAAGCCTTTTTCCATTTACCCCTTCTTCTCTGAGCTATGCCCCACCTTCCTCTCTTCCTTCCTCCAAGAAATTTGTGTTATATTGGTCTTGTGTGAAAATATATGTCTCATTCTGCACCTACAGTCCATTATTTTTAACACCAAGAGCTGAGAGGCATGCTTCACCATAACTCTTCTGGAATCATGATCAGTTGTTGCCTGGATCAGAGTTTTTAAAACTTTTAAAGCTTTTTTTCCCCTTTATAATATTGTCAAAGTCGTCGTGTAAATAGTTCCCCTGCTTCTGCTCACTTCTCTGTATCAGTTTATTCAAGTCTTCTCTTGTCTTTCTCAGTTTGTCATTTTTATCATTTCATATGTCTCAATAGTATTCCATTACATTCATATAACATAATTAATTCAGCTGCTCTCCTATAAATGGACGTCCCTTTGGTTCTGTTTTTTTTTTTTTACTGCAATGAAAGTGCTATTAAGGGCAGCTAGGTGGCACAGTGGATAGAGCACTGGCCCTGGAGTCAGGAGGACCTGAGTTCAAATTTAGTCTTAGGCCAAACACTTGACACTTACTAGCTGTATGACCTTGGGCAAGTCACTTAACCCTAATCGCCTAGGGATAGGGGGAAGGAAAATTAACAAAATATTTTTATAGCTAGGGGTCCTTTGCCTCTATCTTTGTTCTCTGAGGGCTATGTGCCTAGTGTTGGCATCACCTCTATATTTGGCCTACGTAACACTTTGTATGACCCTTGAAGATACTCAGATTCTGATGCGACACTTAAAGCGTCTCCTCTTATTAGACTATAAACATTTTATTGTTTCATCCTTTCCAGTTGCTCAAATGCATTTACCTTTCTAGGTTTCTTTTGACTCCTGTATTTGTCTTTTAGTGGAAAGTACTCTAATTTGAAGTTAAAGGACCCATTGATTCAGATTCAAATTCTCACTGTTTTACTTTTACCTGTTAGACTTTGGGCACATCACCAAATCTCTCTTTCTTTATCTCTGAAAAGAAGGGGTTGCATTATATGGTCTCTGAGGGTTTCTTCCACCTCTAAATCTGTGGTAGTCCTGTGAAAGTTTCTACTCAGCTCTGATCTTTTTATCAGGAATGTTTAAATGTCTTCTATTCCATTAAGGCTTTATTTTTTCCATTTGACTTTCCATTAATTTTCCATTAGATTGTACTTCATCTTCCTGGATTAGTTATCATTGATTTTAGCCTTTATCTTTTGCCTTTTAGAATATCATATTGCAAGATATTGTCTCCTTTAGAGTAGTTGCTGTCAGGTCTTGTGTCATCCTGATGTAGGTTCCTTAGTAATTGCATTCTTTCTTTCTGGCTGCTTGCAGTTATTTCTTCTTTGACTTGGAATTTTTGTATTTTGTCTCTGAAATTTCTGGGAGTTTTCTCTATGGGGGATTCTTTCAGTGGACAGTGGTTGTATTTTTTCTGTTTTTACCTGTCCTTGCAGGTAAAAGGAAAATGGGAAGGGATTTTAGGTAGAAGGAGTGATATTGCGTAGGAGAGTGGAGATGTTGGATTTGGAGTCAGATACCTTGGGTAGAAGGAAATGGCAAACTACTGTAGTACTTTTGCCAAGAAAACCCCATTGACTCATGAAGAGTCAAACATGATTGAAATGACTGGACAATAGAAATGAAGGATATGAATCCATGAACTTTTATTATATACAGTGTTTTAGGGGCAGCTAGGTGACACAGTGGATGGAGTACCAGGCCTGAAGTCAAGAAAACTCATCTTTCTGAATTCAAATCTGGCCTCAAACACTTACTAGTTGTGTGACCCAAGGCAAGTCATTTAATCCTGTTTGTCTCAGTTTCTGCATCTTGTAAAATGATCTGGAGATGGAAATGGCAAATCACTCCAGTATCTTTACCAAGAAAACCCCGAAAAGGGTCATGAAGAGTCAGACACAATGGAAAATGACTGAATGACATACTGTGTTTAAATACTGTACCTTCTACTTAACATTTATGTGACATGGGTAAATAATTTAACATCTATGCATATTAGTTTCCTCATTTATAAAAATTTGGGCTATGGCCTCGATCAGTGGTGTCAAAGTCAAATAGAAACAGATCCCTGTGGGCTACATGTTGACTTAGAAAACCACAAATTAACATTATCTGTGTTTTGTTATATTTCATTTTGTTAAACATTTCCCTATTACATTTTTATTTATTTCTCGAGCATTGAGTTTTACAGTTAGGTTGCCTAAACACCTGGCATAGGTGCTTTTGACACCTGAAGGAGATGATATATAAAGTTCCATCTTCGAACTGAAATCCTGTTATCCTATAAATGCATTTATAATTCTGGAAATTATGTAGTAGACTAGTTTGATTAAATTAGAGGGATTTTCTTGAGGAGCACAGTGGTGGGAGACAAAGCTGAAAAGATTCTATTGTAGACCTTCAATTATAGGGTAAAGAGTTTGCATTTTATTTTGTGTACAACTACAAATGCCATCAAAGTATTTGAGTAGCAGAGAGTAAAGGATAGAATTAGAGTTAGGTATGATTTTTTAAAAATCAGTCTTTTAGAAGCACTTCTTTTTCTTCCCCCAGTCTGTGGTCACTCAGTGTGTGTGTGTGTGAGAGAGAGAGAACAAGAACACTAGATAGCACCAGATGGCATGATATAGAAAGAATATTGAACTAGGAATTAGAAGGCCTAGGTTCAAGTTAAGTCTCTACCTCTAACTCAGAATGACCATATTAAAAGTCATTTCCTAACAGCTTTTCCCAAGTGGGCTCTTTTTGAGAATGGAGAAACTCATCTTCCAGTTAATTAGGCTTATGGTATCTGGATTAATCTGGATTATTTGGTAGATGATTTTTACAGACTACCTTTTATTTTACCTTTATAGGCAGCTAAGTGTATAGTGTTGGGCCTGGAGTCAGGAAGACTTATCTTCCTGAGTTCAAATCTGGCTTCAGACACTTACTAGTTGTATGACCCAGAGCACACAGTTGCCTCAGTTTCCTCATCTGTAAAATGTGCTGCAGAAGGAAATGGCAAACCACTCCAGTATCTTTGCCAAGAAAACTCCAAATGGGGTCACAAAAAGTTAGAAATGACGAAAGTGACTGAACAACAGTCTTTTGTGTGTAGTTTAAGAGAATATTGGGCCGTATGTAATGGGAAAATCATAGCACTGAAATTACAGAGTATCTTATATCTTCAATAATTTCTTCTAATTTCTCTGTTTATAGGTGCAGGCAAAATTCCATCAGTAGGAGGAGGCTTCCATGTGAACCTGGGAAAGGAATCCAGAGCTCAGACTCTTCAGAATGGTACTTGTTCCTCTTGAATTTGGGTGCTATATTTGTACTGATGTTAAGATACTCTAGTGGAGTGAGCTCCTAATTATTTATATGTGCTAGTGGAGGAGAGTATGGTTTTGGTAGTAGCAAAATGTAGACAATTGATAGGTTGGTAGCTATGAATTATAATGACTTTCATTGTGGATAATTAGGGGTTGCTCATTGTTGCATATATATTCTGTTTCTGAAAAGGTATGCCTTAAAGTGTTTGACCCTTTTAAATTAACATTTGCTTAAATATTAGATAATATAACTGATTATAACTTACAAAATCTTTTTTCAAAAGACCCTGTGCAATACATAGTGCAGACAGAGACTAAAAACTTGACATGAAATCATTAATGATTACTCTTTAGTGACGAGGAGGGAAGGTATGTTGGTTAGATTTGGGGTCTCTCAGAAAAGAATTTCAGAGAGCAAGTTTGTCTCTTTGTCAGAGCAAGATTTATTGCACAAAACAGGGTGGGCTTAGTCCTTAAAGGACTAGCAGCATACAGAACTAAAAGAGGCATATTTATACATGAATTCTGGGCAGTTTGCCATGAGCTGATGGTACAGATCATGCAAGTTCTTGCAAAATTTCCTGATGGATGGGGGCAGCATTGGGGGGCATGAGTGCAGATGTGGGTTTTACACATGGTTGGGGGCTAGGGTCTTTTAGGAAGAAAAACAATTCCAGGAATTATAAAAGTTGTTTGCACAAGATCTAATCATTATATACATGAAACCACAAGGCCATTTCTTAGTAAGCTGTTAAAAGAAAGACTCAAACCCCGACACCCCCTCCCACACCCCTACCCTTCTATTCCTGGGGTATCTGCTATTGCTGGATAGAAGACTAGGCAGAAATCAGAATCCCATCATTTTGCATTGGTCATTCAACCAGTCCTGAATCCATCTAATTGTACTGTCCAAATTAATGAATAGATTTAGTGCTGTTCCAGTCAAACTGCCAAAGGAATACTTTGTAGAACTAGATAAAAATAATAAAATTAATTTGGAAGAATAATGAGATTTAGAGTTTTTAGGGAGTCAAAAATTAAAGTAGGAATAAATGGAGTATAACATTTCCAGGCCTTGTATATTTTAAAGCGTTTATGGTCTAAAAAAATAAAAAAGATCAATAGAACAGACTGAAAAAGGAGGAATTGGGAGCAGTTGAATTCAATGACCCATTTGATAACTTGTTAACAAAATTGTTTTTGGAAGGAGCCCCATTTTTTTTTAAAGCAGTTGGGGTTAAGTGACTTGCCCAGGGTCACACAGCTAGTTAAGTGTCAAATGGTTGGGCTGAGGCCGGATTTGAACTCAGGTCCTCCTGACTTCAGGGCCGGTGCTCTATCCACTGCACCACCTAGCTGTCTCAGGAGTCCCATTTTTCAAAAATGCCATTGGGTAAGCTGCAAAGTTGTTTGGCAGAAATTAGTTTTAGACTTATACTTTATACCACATATATCTCTCACTATTAAAACATAAGCTCCTTAAGGGCAGGGACTGTCTTTACTTGCATTTTTATTTGTATCCTCAATACTCAGCACAGTACTTGGTAAATAGTAAGTGTTTAATAAATGTTTTTCACATACAAAGCAGATGTTTGACCTATTAAAAGTCACATCATAAAAATCAAAATGACAGCTCAATCAGGTACCCTTTCTGTGGCTAGGTGGATTGTTAGCCAAAGAATAGAGAGGTGTTCACAGAAGATAAAATAGATAATTTCAGTTACATGAGATTGAAAAGCTTTTGCATGTATAAAATCAGTGCAACTAGAATAAGGAAGAAAAGTTTATTGGAACAAAGTCTTTATCCCACAGGGTCTGTTATCTAAGCTGTATAAAGAATTAACAATATGTATATATAGAATACCAAAAGTCATTCACCAATGAATGAGTGTACATGAACAAACAATTCTCAAAAGAAAAATTACAAACTTTGAAGAACCATTTGAAAGATCGCTCAAAATCAATAATAAGAGATATGTGCTAAGTACTGGAGATACAAAGAAAAAGTAAAAACAGTACCACTAAAATAGCTTATATTTTAGGGAGAAATAACATCTATGTAGTTGGATACATACAACGTACACAGAAAATAGCCTTAGGAGAAAGGCACTAAAATCTGGAGGGCCACAGGAAAAGCCCCCTTGCAGAAGTAGTATTTTAGATGAATCTTGAAGCCAGGGATTTTTAGAGGCGGAAGTAAAGAAGGCATTAGAGAAAGCCAGTGAAAAGGCACAGAGATAGGAGATGAAGCAGTATGTGAGTTGTAGCAAGTAGGCCAGTATGGTTGAGCCATGGAATGCCTATAGTGAGAGGAACAATATGTAAAAACAAACAAACAACTAAAAAACTGGAAAGTAGGATGTACCAGGTTATAAAGAGCTTTAAATATCAAATCAAATATTTTATATTTGATTTTAGAGGTAATAGGAAAGCACTGTAGTTTACTGGGTAGGGGCATGACATAGTCAGACTTGTACTTTAGGAAAATCATTTCGGTGGCTTTGTAGAGGATGTATTGGAAAAGATTTGAGCCAAGGAGACCAATTAGGAACCTCTCTGAGAAGTAATGAAGACTTGAACTAAAGTGGTGTCTGTGTGAGTGGAAAAAAGAGGATGTATAGGAGAGCTGTTGAATATATGAGAGTTTTTGTAACTTACTGAGGAGTCAAGGATGACACAAGGGTTGAGCACCTGGCACACAAAAAGGATATTGATGCTCTTGACAGTTATATGAAATGTTTGGAAGAGGGAAAAGTTGGGGGAGGAAAATAGTGAGTTTTGTTTTGGATTTAGTGAGCTTAAGGTACCTATAGGACACCTGTTCAAATATTAGATAGACAGTTGGTGATACAAGACTGGAGCTTAGGAAAGAGACTAGGATCAGATATACATATACGCATACATGTACACATACATATACATATACATGTACACATACATATACATATATACATATATACATATATACATATATACATATATATACATATATATATATATATCTGGAAATCCTTTGCATAAAGATAGTCATTGGATTTAGGGGAATTGATGAAATCACTAAGTAAGAGGGTATAAAGGAAGAAAAAGAAGAGGGTCTAGGACAGAGCCTTGACAATGATATGGATGAAGGTGTAACAAAGGAGATGGAGAAGGAATGGTCAAACAGGGTCAGAGGAAAACCGGGAGACTGGGATATCAAAAAAACCCCCAAAAACCCAAAACTAGAAAAGAGAATTTCCAGGAGGAGGTGGACCTCTGTGTCAGATGCTGCAGAAGGGTCCAAAGGGATGAAGATTGCGGAATAGCCATTAGTTTTGATAATTAGATCACTGATAACTTTGGAGAAAGCAGTTTCAATTGAATGATGAAGTTGGATGCCAAATTGCAGAGGTTTTAGAAGAGTACAAGAAGAGGAAGTTCAGTCACCTAGTGTAAAAGTTTGTCTCAAGGAGATAAGTGAGAAGAGGAGAGAAAGCCAGTAGTTACAGGTGATAGTGAGATCTAGTGAGAGTTTCTTGAAGATGGGAGACACATGGGTACATTTTTAGGCAGGCAGGGAAAGAGCCAGTAGATAGGATAGGGAGAGATCAAAGATTACAAATTGGGAATGATAGTTTGGTAAATCTACTAGACAAGACAAGAGTGAAAGGATCAAAGGTCTATGAAGAGATTAGCTTTGGCAAGGTGAAGGATCACTTCTGGCTTGAAACTTAACATCAAAAATACTAATATTTTCTCAACTGGTCGGTCCTATTACTTCCTGGCAAAGAGGGAGAAGAAAAAAAAGTAGTTTCAGTAGTATCAGATCAGTATTCTTGGGCTCAAAGATCATTGCAGACAGCAATTACAGCCATGAAATTAAGATGCATACTCTTTGGAAGAAAAGCTAGGGCAAATCTGGACAGCATATTAAAAAAAAGAGACATCACTTTGGTGACGAAGTTCCGAATAGTCAAAGATAGCTTTTTACAGTAGTAGTGTTGGATTGTAAGGAAAACTGAGCACCTCAGAATTGACGCTTTCCAGTTGTGGTGCTGAGGAAGACTTTGAAGAGTCCCTAAGACAGCAAAGAGATCAAATCAGTCAATTCTTAAAGAATTTCATTCAGATTATTTATTGGAAGATCAAATAGATACTTTGGCCACATAATGAAAAGATGGGACTCATTGGAAAAGCCCTTGGTGTTGGGAAAGATTGAAGTCAAAAGGAGAAGAGGATGGCAGAGGATGAGATGGATAGATAGTATCATGGAAACAACAAACATGAACTTGGGTAGAGTTTGAGAGATAGTGAAGGATAGAAGGGCCTGGTATGCTGTAGAGTCACAAAGAGTCAGACACAACTGAATGACTGAACAACAACAGAAATAAAGTAGATGCTCATCATTTGGAGAATGGCTAACTGAATTGTGTTAATAATGTAATTGTTGACTTGAATGTAACATTACTGTGCTGTAAGAAAAATTCAGAGAATCATGGATAGACTCAAATGAACTGATGCAAAGTGAAATAATGAGAAGCAGGAAAACGGCATACAGAATAGGTCTTATATAAATGGGAAGAAAAACAATAACTGTAAAACTCAGCGCTCTGTAATTATAGTGACCAAGTCATTATCCATTAAAACATGAAAAAAGGCACCTTTCCTCCTTTCATTGCAGAAGTAAGGAACTCTGAGTGCAGAACATTGCAGTTATTAATTATGTTAAAATGTGATTTGACATATAAACTTGTAAAATTTGACATAAGTTCAGAAGATGTATTTTATTCTTAGATCTTAATTGTTGGATTGTTCACATCTTTTTGACAATGAAATTGGTACAAAATCTTATGCTTTTTCAATAAAATTGTGATGAGTTAGATGTAAAATTATGTTTTCTATTTTTTTTTACATATTTTCTAGGCAAGCGTCAGATTCATCACTTGGGAAATCAGTTACAATTAAATCAGCATTGCCTTGATACAGCATTTAACTTCTTTCAAGATGGCAGTGAGCAAGCATCTTACACGTGGGAGAAAAATGGCACATGTCATTGCTGCATGTCTTTACTTGGTTTGCCGCACCGAAGGAACACCTCGTATCCTTTTAGTTGTATGATGTTACTTGTCTTTCTTTTGGTTTTTCAATAACTTTTTCACAAACAATGAATACCAATTAAAATTACTTTTTGGTTATCCATAAATGAAAATTGAATCTCAGATCTCATGTTTTCCCTTTGTCTGAAGGTCTTCTAGTAGAGACTGGATAACTACTTGTTATTATCTTATAGAGAATTCCTGTTCATTTATGGATGGGATGTGATAACCTCTGAGATTCCTTCCATTTCTAGAATTTTGCGATTCTCTGATTCTGAATTTGATATAGCATTTCAATGAAATATGTATAATTATGAAGATGAAAATCTACTTGTCTAGGAGTTCTAAAAGGAGAATAGTAGTTTGTTAATTTCTAAAATCTAGAATATATGCACATTGTCTTCCCTAGCCTGTCCCAGTGGCAGATGTTTTGTAGATTATTGATATGATGCATGAAGTTGGAATTGGATTTGAGAGCAGAGGATGTGGGTTAAAATCCTGGCTGTGACACTCACTGACAGAGTGACTTTGGACAATACATTTAAATTTTCTAGGTCTCTGTTTCCTCATTTGTATAATGAGAAGGTTCAGGGAGATTCTCAACCTTGAGCCCCTGAACTTGCTTTGTAAAATGTTTTGATAACTGTACTTCAATTAGTCAGTCATTATACTATATGCCAAGGACTGTGCTAAGTACAATTGAGTAGAATTGGTTTCCTTTGTAATACAATGTACCTTATTTTATGTATTTTAAAACATTTTGAAAAGGGTCCATAGGTCTCCCCAGACTCAAAAGGGTGTGGTCCCTGACACAAAAGATGTTAACAGCTAACCTTGGTGATCTCTCAGGTCTCTTCTATCATCCTATTTAAGATTATGAGATTATTAGAGAAGAATTATATTGCAGAATAGTCAATTTCCAATATCATCTCTCCATTCTCCATCCCTCATTACTTGTTCCCTTATACTCCCCCACTCTGAAACTGCCCATCACTTCTACTGTGCTCTCTGGAATACATATTTCATTGACAACAAATTTTATTTCATCTTAAATCTTTTCATTTCCCACTCCTTCTGTCTCTAGCTCTCACTGAAGTATAGGTCCTTCCTGATGACACAGATGTCCCTAGGCTCCCTCTCAAGCTCTGGCTGAACTTTTCACTTGTTCCCTACTATCACTTCCATGTTCTTCTACCACTATCATTCAGTGATACTTCTTTGAGGTTCACTGAGTCCATCTACCACCCAGTCAAAATTTTGGTAGCTGTTGTCTGCTGACCTCCAGGATGCTCCCTTTAACAAGTTCAGTATTTAGTGCACAGTCTTTCTTCCTTCCCCATCTTCTGCCTTCATAGTAGGGGACTTTGAATATACATATTGATACTCCCTTAAACACCGTATGTCATAGTTACTCAATTTCCTCGTTTCACATGACCTCCTCTCTTTGCTCTTCAAAGTTATCAGTGGGGGATAGCCAAGATGGTGGTACCAGTGGGGAGCAGAGTAAAGATGGTTTAGTTGCAGGAAGAAATACCATGAGCTTCTCTCCTACACTCCCCACCTTCCCACTGCCCCCAATACTTCCAGAAAGATCTAGAAAATACACTAGACCAAGTTCTGATAAAGAAATTCAAAACATGCAACAGTCATTTTTCTAGCTCAAATAGGTATAGGAGACAGAGAACAAGATTTGTAGAGAGAGATAATAGAGGGGCTTCTGGCCAGGATTATGGCATCTCAGGGCATTCATACAAAGGGAAAAGTTGTATACACAGCAAGAGGAGATCCCAGACTCATAGCTGGGTGCTATGACAAGAACATCTGGCAGCTTTGGGACCCACAACCCAGTACTGGATTATAGATCCAGGGTGGATTGAAGAGAGGGCCTGTGCCCTGATGTTATGGTCCAGGGTAAGAAACAGTTGAAGTTCCAGGGCTGTGTACCAAGAGAGGAGAAAGTTCATGTGCATGCAGTAGTGGTGTAGCTCAGAACCCAGGAGAAGGGTGGGGTCTCAGTTCCAGCTTCTATTCCAATCTAAACCCTGCAGACAAATAACTAGGACAGGAATCCAGTAACAATGGAAAACCTGCAGCGTTGTCCCTCTGAAGTGTCAAGAGCTTCTCATGGCTGATACAGGCAGAGTCTGACAACCGTCTGTTATTGCTCAGACCCAGACCCAAGACAGAAACTTGCAGCGTCTGAGGACTTGCTCTGGGTCACACAGCCAACATGTGTTAGAGGCAGGACTTAAACCCAGGTCTTCCAGGTTGTGTGGCTGGCTTTCTGTACATTCTGTTTTACTACTTTCTGCACTAATTTTTTTACATAATTATTTAACATTTTTACATAATGACTAAAAATAACACTCCAGGTTGTTTCAGCATAACTTTAAATGCCATATTGATACAGAATATGAGATGGCTATTGAACAGAAATGAAACAAATTCCTTCAAAATCTATTTCAGAGAAGGATGAATTCTATTTTTGACGATTTTTTTAGATCTTCCAACTTTAGATCTCTGAAGGCAAATCATTGCACTTGAAGGGAATTATCATAACCTTTCTTTAAAGTTTGGGATGTGATGGTCAGGAAAAGGGAGTTGACCCAGATCTTTAGCCACTCCGTTCAACATCACTTTGTCCACCTACTTGTAGAGATTCTTTTGTCATGGCTCTATGAGTAAGGAATTACAAACATAGTGTGGCTCAAAACCTTCCTTACTAGGGCAATATACAAGAAAAGTTTCAAGAAGTATGGCCTGATCTGGTGCAATGGTAAGATTAACGGATTTGACTTTAGGTAGTACTGTCTACAGGCACCACTTTGTTGATTTGTTGCATGGCTAGATTTTCCAACAAGGTATTTCAGATATGTTATGATTGATGTAATTTCTATAATTTCTAGTAATCATAATTTTCAGTCATTTTCAGGAAGATTGGTGAAGTCCCCCTAAACTAATAAATGATTAGTATGCCATCTAGTTAAAAAAGGAAAAGCCCAACCTTAGAATCTATAAAATGCCCTAGAAGTTATGACTTTCTTACTTGGAAAAATACTGAAATATTTTCTGTTGGAAAGGTTATAAGTCATTAAAAGTCATTGAGTACTGGGTAAAAATGAGTAAGAAGCCAAGTGTATTATGAATTACATCTTCCATCAGAAAGTTTCCATTCCTTTTTATTTTGTTTTGTTTTGATTTGTTTTTGTGAGGCAATCGTTAAGGTTGCCTTACTAAAAAGGTTATGACTTGCCCAGGGTCATACAGCTACTAAGGGTCAAGTGTCTGAGGGTCAGATTTGAACTCAGGTCCTCCTGACTCCAAGGCCAGAGCTCTATCTACTGTGCCACCTAGCTGTCCCCTCCTTTCCTTCTTAGAAAAGAGATAAACATTTAAGAGATGGGATAAACATTTTGGATCAAAACTGTTAAGTCAACCATTGTAACTAAGATGATACTATAAATAAAAATGACATCTATGTAGTGTCTTTTTAAAGAGTAAAAGTTCTGTGCCCAAACTGATTTCTGAGGCCTTCCACATGAGAGGCAGTCGTGGAAAGAAAGCTCTTGACAAACTGGCAAGGGATTTAAGAGAAATTAAATAAAATTCAACAAAACAACCAAAAGATGGGGCTGTTACAGTATTGTGAGCTTCAAAAGGAATTTATCATATACCTATTTTTAGATCTTTGGACCTATTCCAAAATAATATCTCTGATCTCCTTAGAGATCTAGAAGGAACTTTAGAACCTAATGATAGGATTATAGGACTTAGAACTAGAAGGGACATTAGAAAATATCCCTTTTCTTTTTACACATCTAAAAATCTGCGGGCAAAGGTCATCTTTTTCTGCCAAATCAGACCTAAAGGAGGGAAAAGCACCAGATTTATATAGCCAAATGACCTTGGGTTCAAATCCCAGCACTTTAAAAAAAATTATCCAAGTAACCTTAGATCACTTAAGCTTTCTGGACTTCATTTTCCTTATTTGTAAAAATGAGAGGAGGTTAGACTAGAATCTTAAAATACCTTTTACCTTCACTTCCCATGATCTATAAACTGAATTTTCATGACTCTTCAATGTGCACTATTTTTGTTCTAGAGATATTTCTTCCATGAGCAGATTATATGCCAGAGATTTTTGTTAGTGAGACATGACTTTTTCTATCTCTTGCTGTTGGGCTTTGTTAGTAATATATAGAAATGCCAATGACTTGCGTAGGTTTATTTTATATCCTGCAACTTTGCTAAATTCGTTTATTATTTTAAGTAATTTTTTACTTGATTCTCTAGGATTCTCTAAGATACTATCATATCATTTGCAAAAAGTGATGGTTTTGTTTCTTCTTTGCCTATGCTAATTCCTTCAATTTCTTTTTCTTCTCTTATTGCTAAAGCTAACATTTCTAGTACAATATTGAATAATAATGATGATAATGAACATCTTGTTTCACCCCCAATCTTATCTGAAATGCTTCTAGCTTATTCCCATTACATATAATGCTTGCTGATGGTTTTAGATAGAGGCTGCTTTTCATTTTAAGGAAAATTCCCTTTATTCCTATTCCCTCTAGTGTTTTTTTAATAGGAATGGGTGTTTTATTTTGTCAGAAGCTTTTTCTGCATCTACTGAGGTAATCATATGATTTCTGTTAGTTTTGTTGTTGATATGGTCAATTACGCTGATAGTTCTCCCTGTACTCCTGGTATGAATCCTATATAGTCATAATGTATTATCCTGTGATAAGTTGCTGTAATCTCTTTGCTAATATTTAAAAATTTGCATCTATATTCATTAGGAAAATTGGTCTGTAATTTTCTTCCTCTGTTTTGGCTCTTCATGTTTTAGGTATGAGCAATGTATTTGTATCATAAAAAAAATTTGGTAGGACTCCTTCTTCACCTATTTTCCCAAATAGTTTATATAGTGTTGGAATTAATTGTTTTTTAAATGTTTGATAGAATTCACTTGTAAATCTATCTGGCCCTAGAGATTTTTTCT